AGTGGCGGAGGTGGAAGCAGAGCCCCTCTTCCTTTGTTGCACAGAAGCGCTCCCAGGCCTGCGGGCGTCCCAGGAGGAGGAGGAGGAGGAAAAATCCCTGTCTGTTCTTCCCGCTCTGGGTGGAGCCCGGGGGGCCTGTGGGGAAGCCCAGCCTAGGTCTCCCACGGCCTGCCCTGGCAGGGGAGGCTGCAGGGGTCAGGCTCAGCCCGGTGCACTGTTACAGAGTCGCTGCTGAAGATGAAAACTTTCTAACCCGGAGGCTACTCGACACACTCCCCCGTGGTCCTCCCCCAGCTCCCTTGCAGGACTTTTGTTCCCCCACGATCTGCCTGCCCCTCTGCGTGGAGTCACGAGGTTTTGCAACTAGGAAAGAAGCAGGAGCGGGCGTGGAGCTCGGGAGACAAAGGCCTTGTTTGCATGCAAATGCCCCTGGATAATGGAGGAAGGCGACCCGAGAACCAAGCGGCGTCTGGAGGATGGAGCACGGCCGGTTTCCAGGCAGCAGCTCCACCGTAGCCCGCGGACGGGCATGGCTGCGCCCCTCGGCCCCGGGCTGGCGTGTGCCGAGGCAGGCTCATGAGCAGGCTAATTTTTGCTGTTCATTTTTTTTTATTATTATTATTCTGTTGAGTTTGGGACGGGGGCTGGGAGCCACCCCCGCAGGCGCTGGAGACCAGGCGGGGGCCCCAGTCACGCTTTGTTTGCCAGATCCTGGTGGCTGCCTTTGGTTTTAGGTTTCCCCCTTGACTATCAATAAAATTCTACTTTTGGGACATCGACTGCTTGGGGCCTCCTGCCTGCCTGCCTGCCCTCCTTCATTTTGTCCCTACTCTGGGCCTGGCCAGCACTGGCTTTGCTGTAGCTGCTCAGGGGACGGGCTGAGATGCCTCGGCCAAACGCCCATGGGTTGCAGCCCTGTACCACGGCCCTTGGCTGTCACAAAGGGCCTTGAATCGTGCCCTGGCTTCCAGCTCCTGTAAGCCAGGCCCTGCCCTGGGCATGAGGTGCTGCCAAGGCCCAGAGGCTGCTTCTAGCTGCCCCCCGCGTGTCCTTTGAAAGGGGGGAGTGGTGGCTACGGCGGGGGTAGCTCCCTGTCACCCTGTG